TGGCGCAATTTGCTCTAAAAATAGAAAAATTGTCCCATATCATAGGTGCGCGCGAATCCCGAGACTTACGGTCTCCGTCCCCGATTATGGCTCCTGTCTGGAACTAATATTTTGGAAGAAAATAGTCAATATTTTGTTTTTAGTTTGCAACTTTTTCACGGCAAAATGTAATCGTTCGAGATGCCGGTCTAGATGGGAAAATCTAGACCGCGGTCAATATCTATTTCAGCCAATCAAATTCGTGAATTCGGTAGTTCCCATTCCTTGTGAGACACAGCCATATAATAATGACAATTACTTGACAACTGAACTGGTATTTTATTTTGATTTTCAAACTGCTGGGGTATTGTAGGATTAACTTCAATAATCATTTGCTCCTGACCTCGGTGCATTTCAGGTGGTATTCAGGTAACAGATCATCTGTTTGGCATTTGTTTGTTGTTTGATATTTTATATGTGTTATGGTATTTGTTATTTGGCTTATATTGTATTTAGAATTTGTTTGCGGTTGTGTTCCAGCTCTATTGCTTATCACAGTTGTGGCATTTTAGTCCCAGCGAGAGGGGAACTTGACGAAAGCTTCATCGATGTCCTTTGTCATGTGACATTGTCTGAACAGCTTCTTAGCAAATTGCGAAATATTAAAAGCGCATTTCATTTTAAATCATAAGTCTTGCGAGTATATTTAGAAAATTCAAAATGCAAGGCAGTAGAAGGAAGGCAGCTTACTTTTTTCCCCAGACCATAAAGCATTGATTCCGAATAGTTCGTTTTGTGCATTCTATTCCGCGTCGTCAAATGTATCTTGGAGACATTGTAACTTTTAAGACTTTAAAACCCATTTCTTTCCACTCGAGCTTTCTTGAGCACATTTCCTGTTCGTTTGTGAGGTCTTCAAAAGTATATTTTGATCAAAGATGGAGCGAAAGGAAGGAAAACTCGTCTTAACATTTTTTTTACGTCGGGCTCAACACAACAGATGGCATTTTGTAAACATGTACCACCCCCTCCTCCAACATATATGAACATAAGACAATGACACGACTTTGTGGACAAAACCGACCCTAGTATGGGAGACAGGAAGAAACGTGTTTAATTCATGTTTAATGCGGATTTAATGCATAAATTAATTGTATAACGGGAATGGAGTACTAGTGACCAATCGAACCATCACTATACCTCATGGTATGATGGACATACCATGAGGTAAAAAGGAAAATAATTTGGCATAACCCCTATAAAGCAAAAATGTAGCCACCAACTTCGGAACAGCCTTAATTTCTCAAGATCTTTGACGAAGAATTCCCCAAAGAGCATGAGTTACATAAGATATTTAATCGTAACACAGTTAAGATTAGCTACAGCTGCATGTCCAACCTGAAACAGAACATCCGCGGCCGTAACAAATCCATTTTGTACCAAAAGATCGTGCCGCTTAAAACATGCAACTGCAGAAAACCAGCTGAGTGTCCTATGGATAGAAATTGCCTCAAGGAATCGGTTATCAACCGAGCGACCGTCACAACTGAGGGAAAAAAACTCCTTCCAAAGCCTACGTTAGCCTAACGAAGAATTATTTTAAGACCAGATACTCAAACCATAAAACGTCATTCTCTTATTTAAACAAAAAGTTTAGCACCGAGCGAAGCAAACACATCTAGAATTTGAAAGACAATAATTCAAAGTTCAAGGTCACTTGAAAAATTTTAAAAGGAAGGTGCCCCATATAACCCCGCTTCTAAACGATGTAACCTATGCCTCTGGGAGAATTAGTTTATCATTTGCCAACTTAAGTTAGCCTCTCCATAGGCTTTTCTTAACAAACGGAATGGACTGATAACTTCATGTTGACACACAAACAATATTCCTCCTAAAAATAGCTAAATTTTAAAGCTCCCTTGTCACGCATTAGTATCGGAGTTTATTTATAATTTCCAACTTTCTATTGTTGTGTAAAAGCGCTCACTTATTCTAGCTATCCTATTTCCAACTGTCGCATGTGTATTTCAAATCAGTGTGACGATGTAGCTTCGCATTTGGCAATTTTATCTGACTAGCGCTGCACACGAGTTGCGTAGCACGAACCAAATAGCAATAAAATGTCAAGTCAAATGTACAGTTGATCAGTTTGTGAACTGTTACATCTGGGGAACTGTATAATCTTATTTTATCCGTTTGCTATTTTAGCCATTTGCAAGGACGAAGAGGGAAGTTTATTTCTTATAAAAGATGAAAATGGTTTGCAACTTTCTCGCTGTATGGATTGTCATTGTGAAGCAGGCTTTCTGACATGCCGTAGAAACTTGACAATTAACTTCCCTGGCTATTACTATGGTCTTTATGAGCATATTGAGAATTGTGCGCAGCCACAATGCAACGTTGCCAAGTTTGTGAGAGAAAAGAGACATCAGTGTGAAGGTAACAAGTCACCGTCCTTAAATTTGCTGATAAAATTGCTTTTGAAATGGACTGTAAATTCCATGACATAACAATAGCATAACTTACAATTTATTCATAGGTTCTTGAGGATATTGCACTAGAATCAAAACTAACCAAAGCGTAAACACAAAATCCTATGATGTCACACAAATGGTTGTGAAAAACAAACAAACAATATAAACAAACAAATAAAGCAAAAATAAAATAAAAAACAACTCAAAATACGGACTTATTCATTCAGCACTTGACACTGACTTCTTGAAGAAGAACGGAGCATTTCTTGTCTGAATCAAAAAAGAGGCTTTTTACCCTAGACAAGGCTACGACTAGAGCCTCAGATATCTGAAAGGAAGTGTAAATCTAAATCATATGGACATAAATTGTAACTACACAAAAAATTCAGTTTCGCATATAATAGTGATAAATATTTGTTGGCGTAGTTTTGCTTTGTGATATGCTTTAAATTGTAATTGTAATTCTGGCATCAAATGTATTTGACTCTGGTCATAATTTAGTGCTTACAAAGTTGTTTTTGTTTTTGTTTCTTTTCTTTTCTTTTCTTTTTTTGGTGTGAAATTTTGATTATAATCACAATCGGATCGATTCGTTCGCATTTATACCAAAGAGGGGACAGATACTCAGCGAGAGACTCTCTTTATTGGTAATGTATGTTTCTTGTAGGTTAACCAAGTTAAAATTAAACTAATTATGACTTTCATTTGTAACTAGGCGTCGAATTTACCACAGACGACGGTATTTACTACAAAGGTCAAACATGGAAATATGCAGGATGTGATTTTTACTTTCCTGGAGCCTATGAGA